GGCATGCAGAAGCTTTCCACTTACGTAACTCCGTCTTTCGTCACTGTTCTCTCCTAAGGCTCAGTTAAGAATTATGTGTAGATCTTTTGAAGTGTTTGCCTTTTTTAATGCATAATATTCCGTTTGAACAAAATTCAGTGTAGGATATAAAATCAGAAATGACCTTTTCTCTTCCAACAACTTCTGAACTGGCCGGCCAGACCATTGTCAAACACCCTACTTTTTCCACTCTGACTTAAGAAAGCTCCTGGCCTTGGGCTGGACCCCCAGTGTTTACCCCAGTGTTTAGTTTCAGATTTTCTTTTCTGCTGTGTCGCATTTCTCTGTGTCCCTGTAAAGCCCTCATATTCTTTTAATTACAGAAACTCAGGTTTTCCAGCCTAGAAGGGCAAGGCCCTCTCACTTTTCAAAATCAGGAGTTAGATTTTTAGCACCTTCCCAGGTGAACTTTGTCACGTTCTCCCCACAAACATTTTCTTTGGTATTTTGATTGGCATCGTGTTAAATGGATTCATTAATCGGCATCTTTTCAATATTAAATCTTCTTCCCTCTCCACCGGCTGGAAGCATTTTGTCCTTCCTTTGAACTTCCTCAACACTTCATACCTTTAAAAAAAAAGTTCACTCTCTAAACTATACCCACACAATTTCTCCAGCCTGTAACCCGAGTGTCATCCCTCTCCCTCTCTTCCCAACCCTCACCCCGTCCAATTAATCATCAAGGCCCATCTGTACAGCCTCCTAAATTCATCCGCTTCTGCCTGTCCCCTCCACCAGCACCCCAGTCCACACTGCCAGCATTTCTTTGCTGAGCCACTACCCCGGCCTCCATCTGACCTGGCTGCATCTGCACAGCCTTCTAAGCTATTCTCTGCACTGCAGCCAGAACCGCTCTATTTAAGAGACCAATCTGATTGTGACAACACCAATGCACGGCACTTCAAGAGGAACTGAGAAAAAGATCCTAGGCGGAGTCTGGACAACCTGGTCTGAACTTGCAGCTTGGACCAACCAGTCCATCCTTTCTTGCCTTATTCAGAGTGATTATCAAGTGAAAGCATTTATTGTTCCAGCTCAGGGCCTTTGCATGTGCTGTTTCCCCTCTGTAGACTGTTCTAAGGGTCCTCCCATTATCCACTTTAAGAAGATTCAGTTTTATCTCACCATTTGAGAGGCTGAGGCAGGTGAACAGTGACTTTGAGGACCAGTTTGGTCTGCATAGCAAGAAAACAAGAAAAAAGAATACCCCATTATCTGGAGCAACTCCTTTTCAGCCCCCATCATGTCTGCCACCCCTTATTCAAGTCAGTGTCTAGCAATAAAAGATGAATGGTAGTAATAAAGATGATACTCATAACCTATGCTTGCCAAATAGTAAGGGATGGCTCCCTCCACCTGATCGTGTAGCCAGGGCTTGCAGACGTGTGCTCGGCTGGCGCTGCCGGCTTGTGAGAGTGGGGCCTGGTCTTACAGCATTTGCACGGACATCGATGCTGAAATCCACTCTTTTCTTTTAAACTTCCATGCTTCCTTACTTGTCCTGTGGGCACTGGGAAGCCCACAACACAGGGAAGGGCTTTCAGGAAGCAAGTCCAGCACTCTGACCCCTGGGGTGAGCAGTTCACCCGTACATTGTCCAATACCAACATCGGGTCGCGCCGGCCGCACCTTGGCCTGATGTGTCTGCAGCTTCCCAGCGAAGCACATGATGCTGAGCGCAACGCGCATGCTCAGTGCACCCCTGCCTGATGTGTCTGCAGCTTCCCTGTGAAGCACACGGCACTGAGCGCAATGCGCATGCTCAGTACATCCCTGCCTGATGTGTCTGCAGCTTCCCTGCATAGGGCACAACACTGAGTATAAGATGCATGCTCAGAATATGCATGTGTCATGAGAATGCGGTACGGAATATTCAAATGTCATTATGCTGTAACCTCCTCTAAGAAGCCTTCCTTGATTTCTCCTACTTAGTCACTCCCTACTCAGTATCCCCATCACCCTTTTTGCTTTTACACCTCTTAGGAGACTTAACATAATTATAACACTTCAAAAGCAGCTGTCTCTTCTTCCCTGACTGTAGAATGCTGAACAACACTGATTTTATTGGTTCTGTTCTTTGTGCATAATTTCGAGCACATGTGTGTTCAGGAATACGGATTCAGAGACTCAGCCATTTCACAGCTATCTGCCTGAAGTCCAGCCTAGATGTTGTTCGTAGTTTGTAGTATAGCTATGGATGAGAAGATGAGAATCTCTGCTCTCAGTGGACACACACACACACACACACACACACACACACACACACACACACACACACACACACACACACACACACACACACACACACACACACACACACACACACACACACACACACACACACCACCCTCACCCAGTTCCAAATGACTACAGTCCCTCTGAAAACTTGGGTCATTCCTAACTGCACAGAGAGTTGAAGATGGGTTCCAACATACTTGTGACTATACCTGCCTATCTCCCCCAGTCCTGCGACGGTGATCGGCACCTTGAAGACACGAGCAGTACTGCAGATGTGCGAGGTGTCCAGGAGAGAAAGCCACTCACCTAGCTCAGGGATCACCCAAACTCCCGGCTTCCTCTCCCCCCGCCAGTCCTCCTCAGCCTCCCCTGTCATCCTGAGTCACGCACACCACGGTAGTCCTCTTCCATCCTGTAGCTCCTCCTCCTTCCCCCCACCCCCCTCCTCCACCTCCATGCTCATGTCCAGCCCTGTAGCTTTACCTCCTATCTTCATTCTTCCAGGCTCAACACCCTCAAAGCCTTCCCCTCAGAACCTGTCGCCACAGCCACCTTCCTGCCCTACCTCCCAGCATGCTTCACTGGCCTCATGCTTCCTGTGCCACCAGGGCTTCTTTCTACTTCTTGGCCTGCCTGGGCCAGGACATCACTGTTCACACAGTCATGAACCGTGCCGTACTGCCCCCACACCAGCGAGCGGCGCCCTGGGACGGGGACAGGGGAAGGGAAGCCATGTACATGGACCGGCGAGGGAGGGCAGACCACTGTGGCTTGTCCCTTCCTGCGACCCATCCCATTGCTCAAGGTCCCCTCCTTCAGAAAGGCCTCCCTGCCCCCTGCCCAGGCCCCCTTGCTCTCCTGACCTCATGCCTCGCTGCCTGAAGTGCTTTGTCATCGGTGTCGCCCCCTAGTGCATGAGCCTTATACTAAGATGAGGACTTGGCCTGGCTCCCTTCCCTGGCTGGGAGACAGCCCCGTGGAGGTCACAGAAGAAAGACCACCTTGAATGAGGACTGAACTGGGCCTCTGGGGGCTTAGAACCGTGACCCTGTGGCCACCTTGGAATGTCTATCAATAGTAATAATACTAATACTACTAATAATAATACTTGAGGAGGAAGGAGAAGGATTGGGATTAGGGGGGAGGGGGGAGGCTGGGAAGGGATGTGAAGGGTAAACAAAGGAGGAGGCTGCAATGCTTGGTAAGAAATGTACACATTATCCTGCCCATGTAACTGTAACTCCCCTGTACAGTATGTTCACAAATAAAATTAAATTAAATTAAAAAAAAAATAATACTTGAGATGTGCTTATCTCAGGAGGACAAATTCCAAGGCAAAGTTTTAAATGAGCACACCTAAACATGATCCTTCCACCCTTCCAGTTTGTTACCTAGCTGGAAACACAAAAGAAGGATGACATAATTTATCACATACTGCATTTGGAATCTGCCCAATATAGTTCCTGGTATCTGGGGTTCTCTTGTGTACATCCCTTATTTCCTTTTTCAAGGTCCAGTACTCTACCTCCAGTGCCACCCGCCTTCCTGTCAACCACACTCCTTCTCCAAACGCAACGCTGTGGCCCGCTGGCCTAGGCAAGGAGCCCCAGCGGTCCTCAGATTTCTTGCCAAATCAAATGTGAACGCCCCTTCTCAAGCCCTCCCTTCCTCGGTAAACACAATTAGAACGAAATGCATGTGACAGAACACTGGCCTCCCGACCATTTCTGCGTGTGCAAAGCAGTAGTGTAATGCCTACACTGCGGTGAGCACTTGTGATCTGGGTCACTGAATGACCGTCCATTCTCCCCACGTCCCCTTCCCCTCAAGAGCCGCCATTCACAACGGCCTCTATGAATCTGACTCCCCTCTTGGGCTGTTGTGTAGGTCATGCCCTCCTCTTCCCACCTCACACACAATGAGACCTGGGCGAAGCCCTGCACTGCACCTGGCCCCAACGGTGACACCAGGCACCCACCATCTGGCCTGTGCACGTCCTCCTCTCCCTGCGGCCAGTGCCCGTGGTGTTCCACAGAACAGTTCTCATCCTCGTTGCCCATCGAAGCCCTCCCCCTCCCTCAAATGCGGCCTTCAGTTTCCATCAACTCCATCCCACAACTCCAGCTACCTCTGACTCTGCTTAAAACGCTTAGTCTCTCCACTGGATACGCTCTGCCTTACATTTACAAAGTCTCCATCTTACTAACTTCTCCAAAAGTTAATGAGCTTCCAAACAAGGAAGAACTATGGCTTAGACATCATTGGTACCTCCTACCTAGAAAGAAGAGGCATCTAATAAATTCAAAACTTAACAATCATGCAAAGCAGAAATTCAGGAGCAATTGCACTGCTATGTGACTTTTACTTTCAAGATGTTTCCAAAAACATCACTCTGCCACACAGTTGAGAAGTGTTCTCGAATCATTTGTCAAGAAAAACTTACCACCCACAACGTCAAGAGCTGTTATCTGACTGCTTGCAGTGAAGCCCAAGTCAAATTTGTAAGGGGGTGTTTGGCAAGTGAGCTGTCAGGGGCATCTTCTCCAGCATGCAGGAGCTGCTTATCCACACACATCTAGAATCCAGTCTACACTTCCTCATCCAGTGTCTAGCCTTTGCCACACATATCCCACAGCAACAGAAAGGTGTAGAAAAGTTGGCTGGAGCATAAAGAGGCTGGGAAGGAAAGGAGAGCAAAGGCTGGAGAATAACCTGTCACTCACCTGTGTAAATGAATCTTCCCGGTGCTCCTTTGCAGAACTGTTTGGATTTGTAAGATAATGTCACTTCCACAACGCCAGGGATGTGCCGGGGAGGGGTCTGCACACGGATGGCATGGGGGGTTATCAGCTGAGGAGGGACACAGAGGGGAGCGGAATACTGTTAGAGCAACCACCAGCAAGGACGCCACTTCCGGCTGCATGCATGCATTCATGCAGCAATTTCCAAGCCCAACGCAGCACTAAGACCTATCTTCCTGTAATGCTTCTTGTTGTTGTTGTTGTTATTATTATCATCATCAGAAGAGTACAACATAGCTGATGTAGAAAGCTGAAAGAATGACACAAATATCTAGAGGGAAGTAATGTTGCACAACTCAGAGATAGTCAATGTCATTTGATCCTCTTCCAGTACATTCCAGGGCTGTGTGTCACAGAATGAGCTTTCCCCTGGGCAGGAGCTGTCCTGATTTGTGAACTTCTTTGCATTCTAGTACACACATAGTATACACACTCTCCTCTCATCAGAATCTTTCTGAATCAAAATTTTCAATGGTGGCATCACATTCTATTGTGGAGTGTGGTTTTTTTTTTTTTTTTTTTTTTTTTTTTTTACCATTCTCCTATAATCCAATATCTAGGCCTTTTTGTTCTTTTCTTCCTTGCTTTTTTAAAAAAAGAATGTACATAATGTTCCAGTGTACATCTGTCTTTTTTAATTGGTACCGGGGTTTGAACTCAAGGCCATGGGCTTTCTTGGCAGGCACTCAGCCACACCTAAACCACACCTTCAGACCTTGTTGCTTGGTTATTTTTGAGTCTTGGTCTCATGTTTAGGCCTGGGCCAGCCTGGGTTGTGATCCTCCCATCTATGTGTATGTCTCTGCTCCTTATTAATCGCTATGAGGGTTTCTCACCCACTTTCCCCAGGCTAGCCTTGAACCATGATTCTCCTGATCCCTACCTCTCCCAGGCAGCTAGGATTACAAGTGTGAGCCACCACGCCTGGTAGGCACGTATGTTTTTAAGGAATCTGTCCCTGCCGGACTCATGACCTTCATATCTTGCTTTCCTTTTTGCTCTGCTCATAGTAGGTGCCCAGTACTAGGCTGCTCATGCTGCTGCTTTGGGAATTAAGTAGCCTTTCACCTACCTCGCTCCACACGAGCATGGTGCCAAACACCACTTGGAGACCATCGAAGAAGTTGTCACCAATGATGATGACCATAGCACCGCCCGTGGTCCAGCCCTCACTCGGGCTGATAGCTTTGATGCAGGGGGTAGCTAGGAGGGCAGGAAAAAGGAAAGTCATCTCTGTCCTTAGGTGCCTGAAGTTTAGATTTTGAGGAATGAGCTTAGCTTTTGGTCATCTGAAGAAGTTCAAGTTGAGTGGTGTTGACTTGCCATCCTTCCCTAATTGGATGTTGATTTTTTATACCAGGTCATTAAGCCTAATGAGTTGACCATTATGTACGAAAAAGCGAAACACTTAGCTAATTGTGCAAAGGGTGTTTTTAAAGCTCTGTTGTTTTTGCCCATATTTTTATAAGTGGATCACACTAGAAAAGTGTAAATCCTTTTGCTCTCCCCACCTCCTCTGCCCCGTGACGCCAGAAGACTTACAAGGCCCATTAACATGCTAGGAAGAAAGGGAGAGAGCAAAAGCTATCATTGCTGAAGTTCTTTTTGTTTGGGGCTTTGTCTTTTCTTCCAGTTTTATCAAGAGGCAATTTCTAATTATTCTTGTAGCTTTATAGGAATGGTTTTCCTCCCTTCCTGCCTGCCTTCCAGGCCTCCTGACTTTACATCCCAATAGGAACCCAATATGGTTTTCAGGCCATAACTAAAGTCAATCCATCACTCCATTTCCAAAGTTGACAAGGTCAAAGGTGGAGGAGAACTTTGGCAGGACTCCAAAAACACGAGCCCCCTTTGAACAGCCAGTCAATCACATTCAATCAGTCAAAAGGAACTCGAGGGGCTCCTAGCTCTCAACCCTGGGGTTTGCTTCTCTCCTTTCAGTACCCACTGTGGGAGAATTAACACCACTCCAAATTCTTTACTGATTCAATCATTTTCTTTCAGTTCATTAATTCCTATTTAAAGTGATACAAGATACGTTTTAAGGGCTGAGTTGGGGTATAGGCTGGTAGGCAGGATATAGGAAAACATCACACTAAAAATAGTAGCCTAACTTGGCCATTCATTCTGTATTATAAGGCTTTCTTACATGGGTGAGTGGAGGAGGAAGGGGAGCGAATGAAGGCGAATTCTCTTAGGTTTGTCAGTAATGTTCATCGATACATGTTAATTTTTTTGGACAACTTGAAGTTTAACAGTTACTGGTATTTCTAATTACTTTAATGCACTTGGAAAACTACCCAGAGCTGCCCGTGATTTCTTCTTGTCCAAGCAAACAAAAATCAATTAGTGTCAGTTTCATTCTGCACATTGTTTTGTTTTGCCCACAATCTGTTTAAGGACACATCTGACACTCATTCATACATGTCTGGCACGGTAATGTCCCTGTTTAACTAAGATGTCATAGGCCTGCACTTGACTGAAATGCAAAAAGAAAAACACAGCGCTGGATGGGAGTCAGAGGCACAGGAAATGGAGCGCTGGCTGGGGGCTGAGCGGGGTTTGTGATGGTCCAGGCCTCAGTGTTTACAGAAACCCACACGCTCTGGGGGTACCTCCTCCAGGTGATGCTGAGACAGCAATGTGAAATTCAAACAAGGAAACTTACAGAAAGCTTCCATTGATCTGCTACGCTCCTACCTTCAGACGGGTCGAGCCTCCTCGCTCTCCGCCCGTGCTTGGAGTTGTTGTGGACGAACATGTTGTCCGAGACAGCCAGCACGTGTCCATCCACATTCACCGTGGTCGACAACACCACCTGCATGGAAAGGACAATGGGAAGTACCAAGTCCCAAACGTCCCAGAATTCCCTCTCACCAGACCTTTGTATGACAAAGAGGAGACAGGACAGAACTTGGGAATGAGTTATGTTCTTAATAGCTCAACAGACTTTTACCCCCTCCTGTAAGTATGGAAAAGCTTTATAGCAGGGGAGGAGGGGCCGGAGAATGAGAGGCAGTCCACAGCCCATGTGTTGTCCTGTATTTGTGTTTAATCTCTGTGTCGTGGGATTGGAAAATTGGCCTTGTGCCTGTGAGGTCCAGAAACCTTGCTCTCTCTCAAAGGTTTGGGCTGTTATTCCCGGCAGGGCTTTGAACTTTAGTCACACTGAGTGTGTGCAGTGTGGAATTCAGGATGGATGGAATGGTCAGCTGGAAGACCACTTCTCCACCCTGGGAAATGGTTCCCATACTTCAGAAGTGGCCCAAACCATGCTAGGCATCAGAATGCCAGTGGATGGTTGTCCATAGCCTCCCTTCCCACTCAGGAGCAGTAAGCAAAGATGCTCTGACTGTTGGCGAGAAGCGGAAGTTCCCAGGATTCACTGTGGGGAAGAGGAGGACCTGGTCTCTCACTGGAGGAAAGGAAGGGAGGCAAGGGTGTGGCGTTGTACAAGGACAAGAATTTGGATTCAGAACCCATCCAAATCCCAAGCCGCAACTTCCCACAATGAATCTATGACAAATGACTGAATGTTTTTCAATCTCAGTTCTGCTTATCTGTACAACATAAATAAAACGACCTAGCTCTCAGGCCTGCATGAGATAGCGAAAGACGCACTCAATACCTTCCAAATTAGAATCGTTTATAGCCTGTGGGCCTCACCCCTGCCCCATCTGACCGGCCAGGAACACGCTGATGCTACCTGCAAGATTCTCCCATGATCTAAGTTCTGGGAGCCCACCTGGGTCTGCCTACCACCCATGGGCTTTACCTAGGAAGCTGAGCCATCAGGACAACAAACTATGTCTCAGCTCTCCTCAGTTAAGCATGGGATTTTTTTAAAGGAAGGAGCTTGTTATATTCACGCTCATGAATATGTATAGCGCACTGGAGGAAGGGCATTGAATAGGTACCTAATGAGAAGCAGTGTTTCCAAATGACTCATCCTGCCTCTGCCCCCAAATGTAATTTGTTGATATTCTACTTGTAATTGTTGTGCCACCCCTTTCTTCCTCATTAAATGAGGGAGGAGGGGGGAGGCACTTGACCCTGCCTTACCTCTTAATAGGAAAGAACTCAGTGGCATTTTAAACCTTGTTATTATGAATAAGTTAAGATGAGCAAAACAAACTCAATAGTGTAATGACTCCCTAGGTCCCATTGTCCAGCTTCAAGACTTGTCAAAATCTTACTGTTCTCATTTCATCTGTGTGATGATGGTGGCCACAGGTTTGGAGGTGGGGAGGGTTTTGGTAGTTGTTTTTTTAAGTTAAAAATTACAGGCACTGAAGTGCATGAGACTTAGCGGTACATTCACATTGCTTTAATGATATGAAATAATTTGTTTCCAGAAAATTGTCTTAGGCCCTTTCCCAGTCGCTCCTAACCACCACCACCCCAAACACACAAAGGAACACTCTTCTCAGACATCTATAGATGTTTTGCCCTAATGAGAGTTTGAGATGGCATCTTTTCTTATTTTTATAATGTTTGTAGTTTGTAATGCAGTCGGTTTGAGTGAATCTCTAAGATTCTCAAGCCCACAAATCATTCCACACTGCCTCACTCCACAGGCAGACGCGGCGTACATGAAATCCCACACGGACACAAGAAGGTTTCAATCACTCAACTCAACAGATATTCACTGAGCTCCTACTACATGGCAAGCATTAGGACAGGCCCTGGGGGGCTCAAGGAATAAACTTAAAGAAACCTCAGTTGTCATTCAGAAAATTATCACCCATATAATTGCTCACAATTCAGGGATGCAGCCTCTCTAGCTCTGGGTCTGTTTTCAATTGTGACTGTGTTAACAGGTTAGCGTCTGAGCAAAGTCCTTCTCGAGAGTTCTATCATGTGGTGGCAACCATAAAACAGAGCTATCCATCACTCTTGGCATGAGTCCTGATCAGAGTGATCATGGCAAAATGCAAGATCATGTCACAGCCAAGGCAACAGACTGGACCGCATAAGCATAGGGGCCAGGTGATCGGGGAGGTAAAGCCATTGCCTGTGAGGCTGTGTACCCCTGAGAACAATAGGAGGTGTTGGGCCACTCTTAATAACTATGAGTGCATGGATTCCACACACACCCCAAAAAACAAAGGCTGTCACCTGTGGGAAACAAGCCAAAAGTCCCAAATGACCACCAGGAAAGGTACTTCTGACATGAGCCCGGAGAAGGGACCTGCAGCCGCATGAGAGGACAGCGTGAACTGGGGCGCATTCTCTCAGAGAAGACACGAGCGTGCCTCCGGCCTGCCATCCCTGTGCTCCTGGTACATTCCTGCCACAGAAAAAGGGGTTTTCACCGAGCCAGCGGATTTCATCATCGTCCGTTTGGGTGGAGTGAGACTGACTTCCAAAGTGAACATTTCCCAAATGACATACCCTGCCGGTTCAGATGCACTTCATTATTTTCTATTAACAATGGAAATAAATTTTAATCTCTTGCTGGCTAGTGCCGGCCTCTCATGACAGCAAGGGAATTAACCTGAATTATTTCAGTGTCTGCAAAATTTATTACAAGATTTTAAATTATGTCCAAATGTGTGTAAAGATATATATAGAGAGAGAGAGAGAGAGAGAGAGAGAGATTGAAAGAAAGAGACAGAAAGACAGAGGAGAGACAGATGAGGCAAGTTTCAGTTTTTTTATATTCCACAAAGAGCATGCCAATTAAACTTGATTTGCAAAATACACTGGATTTAACGCGCAGACACCATCACAGGATTTCAGGCGCATTGGCTGTTGTGCTTCTGGTGCAGATGTGTATTCAGATGCTGACTTTCCTACTTTCCTACACACTCCCTCTACTTCTGGAAGAATGAACTCCATTAGGCAGGTGAAGATACTTCTGATTCAGTCAACGCTTTGAATTTAACTTCCTTCACTGTCTCTTGATGAATGATGACAACCCCGATATTATTCTATTCGGAGAAGTTAAAATTTCTAAATGTTTTAAGACTGAAGGAAGTGGGACGTGCATTCCAACATCATCTCACTCCCAGGCTTCCCCTTCCCCAAGCCAACTTCTTTCCCCTAGTGAGTATTTCCTGGGTCATGGAGACTGACCTTTTCCATCTGGAATCAATCAGTCAACCCCTGACAACTTCCTGAAACACCTCACTCCATTTCCTGTTCTCTCCCCCTTCTCGCTTTCCCCCTGCTTTGCTTCACTCTTCAAAACTGCAGGCCCCAGCGGCTTCACGTTAGAGGGTCAGGCACAGTTAGACTCCAAAACACTACACAAGGACACCTTTGACCTTCAAAAATCTTTACATCTTAGCTAAACAAATCAAGGTCAACATTTCTTACCATTACCTCGTTAACTATTTGTATGCATCTTTACCAATGCGCTTCTGGCCAAGCCGTCATCAATTCCACTTGTTCTCCTAAATCATAAACTGGTCTGCTTTAAAAGCAGCAAGCTTGGTGTGGGTAGAAGGTGCCAGTTGAAGGTGCCCAAAGCTAAAACTCATGCATGTGCTATCAAATGCACAGGAGCGGATTCTGTACAAAAGCATTCCTGTGCCTCTTCGATGTCTCCTGTCACCTACATGTGATTCCTCATTTTTTTCCCCCAATGCTATCGAGCCTTCCTGGCGGTGCCATTCAGCTGGCACAACCCTGAAGAATACAAATTAGGAATACAGATGTCCATAATTTGTGAGGGATGGACCCCGGGTTTTTGCTAGTGACACCAGTGACAACTTTCATTTATTTCTCATAGTTGATGTATCTGTACCTCAGCTCAAAGCCCCGACAGCAAACCTGCAGATCTGAATACTAAGTCATTACAGACGATTGCTATCCGCCCCGCACACATTCAATTCTGCACAAAAGTAAGAAGCAGTCCATTCATCGTGAACCTTGGAGTCAAGATTCTCGGGAAAGAAGTCAGGATCAATTGAATTGCTTGCTTTTTTTTTTTTTAAGTAAAAGTGGTCTTTTCTTTTATGTGTGTGTGTGTTTGTGTGTGTGTGTGTGTGTGTAGCCATCCCTTATTTTGTTTTGATTATGGTCTTGAAGTTTTCATGAAGGCAGCTCAAGAAACGGAGACCAAGTGGAGAATGACGATTCTGGGTTTCATTTTGAGCTCAGTGGACTAACTATAAGGCAGTGGAGGCCAAAAAAGAAACACAAATACAATAATGGTACCCCCACACACACCCTGTCCAGGAAAGCCCGAGAAAGTTTTCAGAATCTACAAGTGGGTTGCAGTCTGCTGAAAGTGCTCAGGAAAAGTGATTGGCTTTCTCAATTTCTATTTTTCCTTTCATTACCCCGACATTTTCTCACGTCTCCCCCTCTAATAATTTATACAAAGCAGGAGCTGAGTTGTAAAGAGCTCTTTCCTGCCCATAAAAGGCCACGGTGGGAGTCAGCCCCAGGTCCCGTCCTCGGCCCGCACAGCTAACTTTCTGATAGGAGAGCGGGATCATGGGGGCCCGTGAGAGCCCGTGGCCTGAGGATTCTGATGAAACCGACATGGGCCTGTGCTCGGCTATTTCTACACCTCACTCTGAGATGCCCTTGGCGCCTTGGAATGCATCACTTTGGTGGTTGGTTTTATTTACCCTTCTCGGAGTCCTAACTGCATAGTTGAGTTGAGTCAGCAGGGGGAGGAGCCAACGTAGGCCCTCCTCCCAGTCTCTCTTTCTCTACTCAGGTGTTTCTCCGTCTCATACCAGGAAGGTAACAAGAGAAGTCAATGAACGCTGGGTCGAACGGCCACATGACCTCTTCTTTTGAAACACATGGCATGCCACTGTCTTTAGTCAGTAGAGAACAATCAGGCTGGTTAGGAACTGC